CTGTTCTTGAGGCTAAATTGGAAAGAGATATATACCTGTGCGCTTTTGTTTGGTGCATTTGCCAGGAACGAAATGATTGTTTGTTCTCTGCTAAAAGGAAAAGATCACTTGAATTACTTAACAAGATTATTTACTTCGCTACATTTTAGTTAGGTCATTCTGTAGTGTCAGCTACAACTCTCTGTGCACAGGAACGTCGAAGGAGGAATGAAGCTCAGCGTTCTGGAGCAGGACTTGATAGATCTTTAACGGCGAATGATGGTGGAGGGCTTATCACAAGTTCTCTGAACTGAAGGCAAAGTCTTATATGAAGATGACAACTTTTTTTGAACCTACAAATATGTTTACACTTTGGTTGAAACATGTTTTTTGGCTGTCTTTGGTACTTTTGGGTGTGTGATCGTTTTGTAAATATGTCTAGATCTATATAGCCACACTTTTGGGTGTTTGATCGCTTTGTAAATATGCCTCATCCATTTTCTCAAAAAAATATACTTTTTTCCTCAAGTTCTATAATGATCTCTAAATGGTTTCACGAATTTGTTACCGTTTCACGTATGAGAAACTACATATATGAAATTTTTACATACACAGTTTTTGGTACTATATTGTTCATGCTTTGCAAATTGTTCAGTGTGAAAATCAATAACCTTAGATTTCGAGTTCTCTTTTATTCAATGTGTTTCAGTTTCTGGATTAGTCTGTCAAACAATAGCATTTTAGGTTTGTGTCAAATTAACAATTTAGTCTATGAAATAACCTAGATTCGAGTTCACTATTTATTTTATTTTATTTTATTTTATTGATGGATTACAATCTTCATCTTTGCTGCAGTGCACTTTGAATCCGCAGGCCCTTTTTTTTGAAGTAAGCTTCAGGCCAAGCCTTTCAAACCTAGCTCTAATGGTAAAGAGCTATAATAGATTTTCTTTAGGATAACATCCTTTTATCCGCGGCACATCTTAAATATCAAATAATTAAATGTGTTCGGTGAGCAACATTTCAATCCACAAAGTCAAAAGCCTACAGAGAAAAGTATCATGACAACAAAAATTTCTAATCTGACATAAAAACTCTTATTTTGATTTTGAGAGAGAGAGAGAGAGTGTGTGTGTGTGTGTGTTTTATATTTTACATTCACCTCAAAAATGTTTTAGACTTGTTACAAGGTAAAATTCTATAATTTTAACATCATGCAATGGAAAGATATACATACCCGCATCAAAAAGTTAATCAATCAAAAAAGAAATTAACAAAACAAGCAACCCATTCCTACCTCAATCCCAAAAAAAATACCATAAGAATACTACCAAACAAGCTCCCATTTATTTATCCATAACATCACCATATCTCACACACACAAACCCACACACAAAGTCCAGCTCTCCCTCTATATATCACTTCCCCAAACCATTAAACCCACAACATACCCATACTACTACTACTCGTGACGATACTTACTCCTTATGATATAATATTACCAAAATACCGAATACGCGTATATACGTCTAACAGTACGCAACGCACTTCATTATGCAGTCGATCGTACACCCTCCCCGCCGCCGCCGCCTCCGCCGTGCCTCCCCGATCGGCTGTACGAGCCGAAGCACTTCGCCGGACACGTCAGCCTCTTCTTGTAACACGGCCCCCTCTCGCGCGCAAACCTCGACGGCCGCACGACCCGCCGCGTCTGCGTACCCCGCCTCCGGGCCCGCCGTACCCGCCACCCGTACGCCGCTCCCACGTTCCCCCACCCGGGTACGTTGAAAACGCCTCGCGGCCCGAACATCCGCCTGGGTCCGACCCGAAGCCGGGAGCGTCGCGGTTCTGTTGTTTTTGGTTTCTGGAATTGGGTCGTCGACGACGCGGGCGGCGGCGGAGGAGAGGAGGGAAGTGGAGAGGAGGAGCAGGAGGAGGGTTAGTATGTAATAAGTGGACTTCATGATTTGAGAAACTGGAGTTACCTTTTTTTTTCTCCCCTTTTCCTTTTTTTCCTTTTTGGATTTGGGGTTAGCATTTAAATAGAGGGGAATTGGGGGGAGGAAGTCAAGAGCTGGAGGCGGTTGAGGGGATGGGATAGTGGAAGTAATAAAGAGACCGTGGGTGATGTTGGTATTAATATCGGAGACGGGTCGAGTTGGTGTTGTGTAATTGCGTGTGAGCTTAAAGAAACAGCTATATCTCGGTTCGGTCTGAGTCGGTTCGAGTTTATCGGGAGGAATTGTGTCTGTACCTAATTTTATGGGAAGCTAATTGGACAACTGATTGGTCACTTCTATTAAATTTTGGTTTGGCATTAAATTCCAAGAAATCGAGTATGAATGAAACATGTCGGTTAGGATAAATTTAATAGAACTGAATGAAAGAATATGGTTCACATAATTGAATCCAATATTCTAAGATAAAAGCTTTATTTTTGCTATTGAATGTTCTTGTTCTAAATTAAAACCAGATCATCTTTGATTCAATTTTGCTTTGACTCAAGTTAACGGTGAAAATCTATCAAAGAGTGAAACAAGAGTCGTTTTAGCTAGGACAAGTGCTTTACCTCACATTATGAAAATCATGTATCCCCTAATCCCTAAGCATGATCTTGCAACAAAGACTGTCTAATCCCTTCCACACTAGTTTTGATGGTTTGCTATAAATTTTGGGGGTTTTAGAGTCTCTCCAACCGAACGCTAAAACACCAAGTTAGCGTCCGGTTCTCTCCCAACCGAGCGCCATCAGCCCCGCTAAAATAGTGGGCCGCTACAATGTTGTGCCAGAAATGGCCGCAACGTTGTAGCGATGACGCAATAATTTTTTTTTTTTTTTTGTAAAAACTTGATATGGAAGGTCTTTTATGAGAAGAAATACAGAAACAAACTTTTTTCTTTTGTTATTTATATTTGTATTAATAATATATATTATTTTATATTAACTATTATAATGAAATTAGAGTATAAAATAATTATTAAAATAAAATTCAACGATGGAAAAAAATAGATAATTTAATCCAAACACTTAAAATTTCATAATACTAGAACCAAATATTTTTTTTTTTTTGCTTGCAAGTGTGATGTTTTCTTTTGTGATGTTAAATGTAATCTTTAGGATAATTTATGAAAGTAATATTTTAATTTGATTTAGCATTTATTTTTTTAAGATTTTTATTTTATTCATAAAATATATTATTATAATTAATTATATGTAATGTATTATATAATTATATAATTTGTTAAATATTTTAAATAGATAAAAATGTTAAAAGATAAGAATAATAAAAGGAATATTCTTTTTGGTGTAATGGGTTAGAGATGAAATAGTGATTTGATGTAAAAACTACACCAACTTGATGTAAAAACTACACCATTTTGGATTTTATGGTTGGAGATGCTCTTAGCCTTTAAACCCAGTGTTATTCCATTTGTTTTTAAACCTACTTACTTCAATCTTACCTATCACCCAAAATACCTTTCAATTTATCTTTTAGCTCAAAACATCAAATACACCATATTTCAGTACAATATTTACTCAAAAAATAACAAATAAATAAATAAATAAAATCGCCAAAGAAAGAAAGAGCGTCTACTACTCATCCATATCTTCTTGCCCAAAAAAAACTACAGATCCCTACCCCCATAAAACTTGACAACTTTTGATACACTTTTATTATTCTATCATTCACTTATATTAAAATTAGTTATGGTCCCATTATTTTTTTAAGATGATGATTTACAATACAAATCAATGGTGCAACTATAACACGATCAATCTATAACACGATCAATACAGAAGCAAATAGTTGGGGTGGGTTGTCAAAAGAAATCCAACGTCGACATGTTCCACGCCATATGTAACATATAGAAATATCAATACATAACGTCTAGAATCAACAATAATTAACCATCTTAGCTATGGTTTCCTAAACAATCTTTGTATCTTCCATCTTATTCACATTGGTGCAATTGGATTCCATAGTTGGTGGAACACATGTCAATCAAGTCGTATCAAAGTAAAAGCTTACTTAAAAAATACGAATATGTTTCGAATATATACTGAGATATGATACTTATGATATCCATATCCGTTTTCCAATATCAAATACGAAAATGAATTCAAATATCTCTCCATAAAAAAAATTCATCAACATCCACTAAAAATCAAATATGAATGCATACATACACACGGATATAAAACAAATATGAAAAAACTAGATAATATTAAGAAAAATATAATTCATATGACACAACAGACTTCATTAAATTGTTCATTATATCTAAAAAACTAAAATCAGATTTCTTCATCATCAAAATTAATCTCAAATTCATTAATCTAATGATTAAAACTATTGCAACTATATGACATATATTCAAATATTTCAGATATGAAAACGGATATTTTACTATGTAGTCATATTCATTACCATATGATATCCATTATAAATTTCATGTATCATATCTAACGTCTAGGAATACGATATTCCCTCAGAAACAGGATTTTTTTTTTTGCACTCCTTTGCGGGTGAAATGATGAAATGAATAATGATGCCACGTTTCAGCTCATGTAAGGAGAAGTGCAGTGATCTGTAAGTGGGCACGAAGAAATATGTGAGTGCGGTTCATGCCACACAACACTATCGTAAGCGTTATATATATATATATATCCCTGCTATTATCTACAACCGTCAAAACCTTTTTCAACCTAATTAAGCACCTGTTGCATGAAAAAAAAAAAAATGAAAGCGGCACAACCCCATTCCCCCTTCAAAGCGTTTGGCAACAGCAACTACGAAAAAAGGTCACAAAATCTTGACTTCAGCGGCCCTAACTTCCTTCTTTTCACGCTTGGCTGACGACTGCCCACCTTGTTGCCTTCTTCTACAGGTTAGCCTGCACCTCACACCCAAACTACTCCGCATGATGCTCCTAGTATCGGCATCTGGCGTGAGAGATGCAAGCATTAAACTGTGACATAATTCATATCAGGGGAAAAAATGATAAAGTTGATCCTATATCTAGATTATGAAACTAAATTAGAGACTATTGAAAGAAATTGGTCATCATTCATTAGTGCCATAATTTATGTCAGAAAAAAAAACCACCCTCGTGCTATCTCTAGTAATATTTTTGGAACTTCACTCAAAATGGTCAATTGACTACCAAAGAGAAGATATCACTTGCCCTATAGTATAATGGTCATAAAGTTTTGGATCCAGAAATAATTTCTTTAGAAAAACTCTTATCTTCAAAACTTCTAGAGAGAGTAAACAAATCTTGCAATTAAATCCTACAGTCAAAAGTCAAAAAAGAAAAGATCTGCCTTTTAAAGATCTCTTTAATTCATCCCCCAAGCGGTATCCTATGGCCTAGGCTGCCACCTTGACAAAGGGATAGAGATAATGAGAGGAGAAAAGAGACCAGAAGTCACCGACAAGGGGACAAAGAATAAAGGAAGCAAATTAATCCCGCATTTACTCACATCACTACCCTCCGTATAAATTGTGATAAATAGTCCAACTTTGCTCCATAAATTCACCACCTGGTTCATTCAAAGCCTAGGAGCAGATTCTACATGTGAGCCTGCAACATTTACTTCTCCCCAACCAACAAGAAGGTGGATTTAGTTGGTTGGGTTCATTTACACTGCACTTGTTTCATCCGCGTCAGCAGCTAAACTCAGAAACATGCAGCAAACCAGCAAGCCACAATGGAGATCCTATCTCTGGGTGATTTGATTAAGATGCTAATGCGGGCCCTTGGATAATTTACAAGCGTTGTCAGTCAAACAAGACAAGCTACATGTAAGGTTAAGGGGGCACTTTTATGCGACAATAACCAATTCATCTAGCAAGAGCTTGTTACCAATCTCAAAGCATCTTACAACGAAAGATTGGCATCCTCAAGAATATGATGAAAAATACAATCTAAATTGAAGAACTCAAAGTCGTAAGAAACGTGAAATTTAATAGTCTATCATAGTCTATCACTTCATCTTCCTTCGTTTCAAGTCACTTAACCACGCTTTTTTTACGAACTCCATTTTTCACTACAAGAAATGATCCTGTACTTCAATTTCAAAGTCCGTCTACCCACTATTAATGGCAAAATTCGAATCAACAACCTCCAATAAAGGAGGAAAAGTAGAACTATTTGGTTCCTCACTAAATGTGACTTCATGATAGAGCCACTTCTATAAATCACAGCATAAACATTTTAGGGTAAAGAAACTTACATCTAGTTATCAGAACCATCTATGAGAATCATGATACTGTTAGAGCATCTCCAACAGCTTCCTCAAAATTTTCTCCAAAATGGAGAAACAAAAGTCATATTCTCCAAATTATTTTTGCTCCAACTCCAACAGCTTCCCCATTTTGAAAAATCGCATTTATTACAATAATAAAGCCCCCATTTTGAAAAATCGCATTTATTACAATAATAAAGCTCTCCCCAAAAATTTGAAGAATGCTGCAGAGTTGGAGAAGGCTCCCTATTTTTTCTCCTCCTTCCCTATTTTGGGGAATGGGATGGGGAATCTGTTGGACCAAAAAAAAGCTCTATATTCCCCAAAATTGAGTATTTCAAAAAGATGAGGAAGCTGTTGGAGATGCTCTTATATAAGATAGGGTTAAGTGCGGATAGACCCCCTGTACTATTCCCCATTTGTGAATAGACTGCTTAAGTGAATTTTTTTGACTCTTTTACCCTCGGTAGGTTTATTTGTAAAAAACAGTTTTCTCTTTCTGAGGGTAGAGTCGAATCAAATTCACTCAGGGACTCAATCTGCAACAATAGAACTACAGGGGCTATCCACAATTGGGTGATAGTACAGGGGGTGTATCCGCATTTCACCCAATAAGAAACAATAAGCAAAACAATCAAACCCTTTACCAGTATTCGAGTTACGTATAAAATATCATAGGAAAATTATAATAAAAATTTTCCAACCTGTAAGTGCGCAGAGTTCATGATCCAAAACAGGAATTTATGACTCCAGGCAGCTCAAGGTGGTAGACCTGGTGGCCCTCGACCACATGGACCGAGGACAGAAAACACATGACCACTTGATACACCAAGTATTCGTGACACCCCAAAATGGACCACTTGCTGAAGCTGTTCACAAAAAGATCCCTTGATGGGCCTGAAAAATAGAAAGTCATTACGATAGCTTAACTGGTGAGAGAAACTCTTGAGACAAAATCAATAAGCCCATCATCACCATTTTCAATTGAAAAGGGTTCATTACAGTTGAACAGTGCAGCCAAGTCGGTGACTCTAATGAGAATGCCAGCCAATCAAATTGAAGACTGAAAAATAGTTTCAATTAACCTTGCACATATAGCCCTGACCGACTAGTATTGTATCGATTTATTTGTATATTGTGTCCTTGAAATTTCAGAAAAATCATTTTATTGCCTTCACAATCTGAAATTTCTGCAAATATTAGAATATGTAAATTCTGGGAATAAGTATCTTTACTTCTAAATCATTATTCTGCTCAACCATATATAATGTAGGAAGTCTTGCAACAAACACAGCAGGTAGGGTAATAAGCGTTTTGTCAAGGGTTCCTTAACCTAGAGCAATGGTGTGTTTGGGAGTTTACTAAGGGAAGGGAAGGAAAGGTAAACAACGGGAAGGGAAGGGAAGGGAAGGGAAGAGAATTGTAATATGTTGTTTGGGAGTTGAGTAAGGTGAATGAAGGTGAAAGTAAGTAAATATATGTAAATTTACATAAATGACTTTATACTAATAACACATCAGCCTTTTTATTTGTTTTGATGAGGGTAAGAATGTCATTACACCCATTTACCCTCCTTTACCCTCCTCTACCGCCCAAATTGGGGGGAAAAGAAAACCAAGCAATTTTACCCTTCTTTCCCCTTCCTTCCTCCTCTCTACCCTCCTTAAAAAAACTCCCAAATAAGGTGAAAGCCTCATTTCTCTTCCCCTCCCCCTCTCTACCCTCCATCCAAACAGGGCACAAGAGAAATGTGCTTCCTGACTAAAGTAAAAGATTTTGAATAGAAAGCCTTTTTTAGTGAAGCATATAACATAATAGAATCCAAAAACCTGGATAAACTGATTAAAACTTGGAACTGGAAATTTGTAACGAAAAGGATCGCAAACTTCAAAGGTTTTGAGATGTACCCAGATTTTGCAAACTCAAAGGAAAAATATGCTAAACTACAAACTTTTAAAAAAGGTTAAATAAGGAGAAAGTAGAGAAACAGACCTTTCATTCCTGAGAGTGATGCCTGACCCAAATGCGTACGGATGAATTAGGCACATTGCAGAGCTGAAACTAGCTTCTTTATTTAATGCATCCACAAACTTTGTCAGCAATGATACTGATAGTCACATCCAATTCCTAACAGAACTCAAAATTGACAAGAAAATCAGTTAATGGAGCTATATCACCTACATTGTGTGGGATAATATGGCCTTTTCATGTGCAAATATTTGAATAAGAAAGACACAGGAAGCTTGCCAAGCAGATTCAGACTATCCTTTTTCTTGCTGCATAACCTATTGTTCCTTGCTCTCTGCGACAAAGTAGATATGTTAACTGCTCAAAGTGAAAGAGCAAAGTTGAAGAACCAGAAAGCATGAAGCTATCAACTCTACCATCAGCTTCACAAGTTAGTTTTTTCTCAGCAGCTTCATCTTCACGGAAGCAATAAGGTTAATGTCAGAATGTTAAAAACTCAGAAGAAGGCCACATTGAAGAACTAAGATGTTTATACACACACACACACACACACACACAAATAAAGTGAAAAGAGAACAACAGAGGGGGAAAGTTCTAGCTTCAGAGCGTGAAAGTGCTAAAAGGAGATAAATATTCTACATCGACTATGTAAGTTTCTCATATTTAATTTCAGACCTAAAAACATCGATGGACCTTAAATTGTCTTTCATGAGTTACTTAGTTCCATGGATGGATCCAGCGACACTGGTGCTGCTCTCAGTCTGGTACCTAAACGTTAACAAAATGCAATTGAACTGTAAGTTCTTGCAACAACTAAAGCTGTCTTATGTAAACCCAAGTCAGATCATCTTCAGAATACAGGGCAACCAAATGGTGAAGAAAATCCAGTCTAGCATAAGATAGACCGAAATTGTGCTCTGCTGAGAATAAGCAACATCTGGAGAGAGATAAGATGCTAGATGCTCACTCTCTCAAGTATTAGTGAAGCATAAGATCGATAGTTTGAGTTTCATGGAAGGGTGGTCAAGTAAACCAGGGACACAGGTCGGTGACAAAGTTTCTCATGTTCACGACTTGATAAAGACAGCTACATTTAAGATTTTTGGTGATATATCGATATCCGTAACATGATTCTGTGGAATCTATAGGGTGTGAAACACAGGAAATTCTTCTAAATCTGAACATGACATACATAAACTTATTTTGTACTTGTCGGACAGTATTCACATAAGTAATACATGACAGAATATTATAATCTGCCATCTGTATAAAGTAATGAATAAACAATAATAAACATATTGAAAAAGGAGAGCAAACATATGGAGATATAGATATACTGCATATTGGATAGCCTGACCCACCAACTCTAAATCCAGAAGCATGCATTATTTCCCTAGGAAACAATATTACATATATCTTAAAATGATCGGGAGACATACTTTAAAGCAATATCGAACTTAAAAACTAAAAGAAGAAGGTGCACCCTTCTTTCTCTCTAACTCCAAGATACGTATTCTTCGCAAGAAGTTTCTGAGAACAACAAAAAATTCTACTCTGAACAGAAGACTTTAACTTAACAACGTCGGGTAACACACAATCATGCATGTACTTATGCACATAAATTTGAAAGTTGCACATCTTTATTTCTACAGCATAGACTGAGAACTTACCATTACTGTCTCATTTTGAGTCCGCTCAATCAGCACTGCTTACTATAGAATTTAATAATGCAATCCATTGTACATGGTGTGTGTTAGGAAAACATTACATAATGAGATATGATCAGGATGGAGTACAACTGTATAGTCGAGCTTCACTCTGAATCAGCATTTGCTCCTTAAAGCCTCAAAATACACAGCATTGTCAACTCTCAATTGAAGAAATGTCTGCAACTTGTACTCCCAAAAATGAAGTGCTCCTCAATCCTCCTCCTTCTCAATAAACCCCCTTCCTAGTACCTTCTTTCTGATTCTTTAGACTCCAGTACGGGACCTCAATCCTTCGTGGCAAGACTACTTCAGCTCTTTACTACACATGTCCACACCATCACCACCCAGCATATTGTTGATAACTCTAAGTTAGCTCTTTTGTACCTCACCTTAACATACCAATTTCATCTTAGGGTATAGTTTATGCCAAATCTACATTGTGGTTCTGGCCTAACATTGTCCACTGTCCTAATATTTCTGATTAAAAAATTCTCAAGTTGCAATGATATGTATCGGGCACAGTAAACACCACTGGACTCACCAAATATTCTTCTAACTTCAATTATGTTAAATATGACTTCATAGATTGTTCCATTGATTTACGCAAACACACATGATTATTAAAACATACCTAATATTTAATAGCTAAGTCTTTAAATATGAACCACAATACTTTCCCACCTATTTATATAAAAATTGTACCTGTATAGTCAAATTTCTACAACTTTAACCTCATTGAACAATTTCCTCAATCTTATCTGTGTCCACTATGGTCCTCACAATTGCAGGCAAACTTTACCTATGATAAAGTTAGGAAATATTGTAGCCGACATGCAGAGTTTCCACTGGCAAGGATAGTATGATTAGAGAAGTCATGTTGCAGGCAGGATAACAGGACTTCTGAATTAACAGCTCCCGGGTGCATAAACCTAAGTACCTGGATGCTACACATTAATCTGACAAAGTTAATGTTAAAAGTATTCATAGATTTACTACAAGAAGTTCAAAAAATCAATTGAAAACTAAATGTAGAGTTGTGAGACACAGTTATATACAAAATAACAACTGCTTGCTTCCAACTTTTCAGACTGATCCACGACTTTTCCAGATAAAACACATACAGAGTAGATTATCTACATAATTTAACATTTCACTATAAACATCAGTTTAACAAATGTAATTTACAATCTCATGAAATAATCATAATGCAAGTTAAATTTCTTTTTTTTAAGTACAACATAGAACTATGTGCTCAAACCTAAGTTGCATGGAAACGGGTATGGGTACGGATGCATGTATGTGACCCGGTAAAATTGTAAAATGTAAGGCACAAAGACACAACTACATATATATTGAAATTAATAATTTACATGAGATCATTTTTATTTTTCAATTCATGTGTTATTAGAATTAAAATTCACATCACATTGTTGAGTTTCTTTTATTATGTTGATTATTATAACTACTCATTTTTGTACTTGACACCCAAACGACCATTTAAAATCATAGTTTTGAACTTGGGTATGGGCTGAAACGAATCTGACCCATGTCTAACGATTTCAAAAAATGGGTGTGAAGTGTAGGATATACATCGAAGAAGTGTTTGACAAGTGTATTAAATTAAATCATATGTGATATAATTGAGTACATGTATGAATAAACATATGCTTATATCTAAGGAGTGTCCATGGAATTTGGATAAAGGAATGTGTTGGGTATAGGTACGGCTTCATGATAGAAGTACCCCGGTAACATTCGCTCCAACCATAAAGATAGTGACAGACATATAAACATAATGTATATACGGTGCAAGTATAAGAGTTTACATCATCGCAAAAAGAACCAACTTAAACAACCCTTCATCTAGAAAGACAAAAAATAAAAACCAGACAGTTTGAAATATATTGTGTTGAAATCCCTCCTTGATATATAATGAGAATTAGTGGAACTCCTAAAAGCACAAAATAACGACACATAAGCGCACAAAACAATGTCATGTGTCATATATTATTTTAGTACTAAACTATAATTCTTATATGATTAGTTTACTTTCTACCCATAATTAGAATTCCTATCAAATTAAATGTGTCTATAATTAGAATTCTCATCAAATTAAATATATCTATAATTAGAAAATTCTAATCATAGTTAAATTTTTAGTAACTAAAAAATCAAATAAATATACTTTTAATTTTCTTTAATTATTCATAATTAAAAAAAGGGAAAAATGCTTCCAGTCCCCAAAATAAAAGAAAATGTGCTTTCCTCTCCCAAAATTTTTTCAACGGGTACTTTGCCCTCAAAAATAAACTTTGTGTTCTCTGAGCTCCAAAACACAAAACCTAAGAGATTTAAATTCGTGAAGACCATAACATCCTTCTCTCTCTCTTTTATATCTGTTATGTTTTGAAAGAGTTTCCTCCGTCAATCCCAGCGGAGAAGCTCGCCTCCGTCAATCCCCGCCTCCGTCGCCGCCGCGGTCGAAGCTCTGTCAATCCCCTTGCCGTCGATTTCGTCGGAGGCGATTGGGTTCTACGAGGCGATCTTGAGCAGGGAGTACTTTAGAGGGGAGTGATTAGGGTTAGGGCAAGGGCAGCAAGAATTGGGGCTCATGAACAGGCATATGAGGTTCTTGGTGAGGTTTCTCACTGTTTGTTTGGTGATTGGGAGGAGGGATATAGTGAATCGGGTTGCTGGGCAGCTTAAGGAGCTAGTTGATGAGTGCAAGAAGAATTTTTAGGTAAAAGATTGTGTGAAAATTGAAGCATTTGAAGGGATTGAGGAGGTGGAAGAAGGAAGTGGGTTCTGTTAGTGATTTTAATCTTGTTAATTGTTTTTTGAAGGGTTAATTGTTGGGTAATTTTCTTTTTTCTTACTGGTTTTTTGTAAGATTCAAAAACATATATAGCAATGTATGATATAGTAGGCAACTTTTGTGTGAGTAAAATTGATCTGCGGTGGTCTTTGTTCAATATCTCTCCCCCTCATGGCTTCAACTTGAGGTCTTGGTTTATGCATTGGTTGTGAAAATTACGGGTTGCTAGTTAAGATTATGGGTTGAAGACATGAGGAGGAGAGGGTAGGTTGTTAAGGTTAGGCTTGGTTGTTAAGGTTAGGGTCAGTTGTTAAGGTTATGGGTTGTGAATGTTACGCGTTGGTTGTTAAAGTTACAAGTTAATTATTAATGTTACGGGTTAATTGTTAAGGTTACGGGTCGATTGTTAATGTTATGGGTCAATTGTTAAGGTTACGGGTTGGTTGTTAAGGTTACGGGTTAGTTGTGAAGTGAAGGTTATACGTTAGGATATATATGTATATATATTTTGAGTGACATGAATACTTTGGGTCATTTGACCTAGTGGCAAAGTTTGGAATGTTGGACAAGTGGTTAGGGGTTCAAACCCCTACAACCATAAAATATGAATTAATATAAAACGTAATAACTATTAAACAAGGTTGACTACATTATGTACCTCTTTGTCACCAAAGACCGCCATGTGTACATTAATGAAAATTGGGTAATAGAGTCAATTGATTCCTGATATCCTCAAAAAAATTCATAAATTAGTTTAGACTAAAAATAACTGAAATAGAGAGTAAGCCATGATATTTACATTTGATACTGCAATTATTAAATAACAATCTAATCAACCTTCATTACTAAGAATACACTTCTTTTCTGCCCTCGAAAATGTGTAAAGGCACATTATACACATTTTTGAAGCATCAAATGGAATAATTCTTATATGTATATCAAACAAAAAATAAAACAATTAGAATACCAGTTGGAGGCTATCATACCCAACTCAAACTGGCATCAAGACCCTTGTCCCAGCCATGACACGCATGCACAAGGCAAGGCATATTGTAACAATGAGCATAGACTTGGCACTGATGTACCGAACCACTTCAAACCCCCTTTCAACAACTCCTTCATGAACAGCATGAACACCTCTCTTCGCACCATCATACAGTTTCCACAGCACGAAATCAAGAAAAGACCTAACAGTTTCAAATGTCACTCTCCCCGTGACATCAAGAACGAACCTTCTGTTGCTTGGAATCGCCAATGTGGATGAAACCTGATCAAACCACCCACTGCTCTGCTCCTTCACATCAAAGGAGCCCCTATTATCAATTTCCATAGCTGAGTCTACCCCTTTTTGCTTCGATTCAACTCTGTTCACTGAACAATTTAAGCTTGGCTTCATCAATACCTGATGAGATGTTTTGATCAGGGTTTCAACGGCTCCATTACAAACAGTCACCAAAAGCTCCTTCACCTTGACTTCATGCTTAGGGTTTGTAATTCCAGCAAAAAGCTCATCATACGTATTTACATCCATTGTCTTCTCCAAGAAGACAGCAACAGCCGAACTCACAAACAACTGCACACAATTAGCAATCAGAGCCCTACACTTCTCATCTCCACATACCAACTGTATCCAGCTCGGAATCGATCCAGAATCAGAATCTCGCTGCGATCCACTAGAATAGAATCCAATTACCAAATTCCTAGCAAAGCTACCAACAACTACGGAAGCGAATCCGGATCCAGAAGCAGAAAATAACTTATCAAGAATCCGGTCCGCAAACTCCGACTTCGCCCTCACCTCACCAGAACTCGAGCCGGACCCAACACCTCTCACGATCCCAACAGTCAGAGCTTCAGAAACCCTAGAAACAGAGTCAACGAGCTCATCTGACCTCGCAATCTTCGAAATCTGCCTCAAACTCGCCGGAATCTCATCAGAATCCGATCTCAGAAACCTATTCAAATCAGCGCTGACCAAGCTGATGGTGTCAGCAGAAGAGGAGACAGCCTCAGCGATTGAAGCTAGGGCTTCTAAAATCTTCGATATCTTTCTTCTCTTCTCGACGACGGAAGGGAGGTAGTAGAGCCTATAAGCTCCGTAACCGGAGGCGGTGGTACAAGTCCATGGGAATCGAAGAGAAGAGAGTGGAGGGAGCGAGGGGGGGGGAGACAGATTAGGGTTTTGAGATTGCGGATGATCGGGGGAGGAGCGGATCCCTTTATGATGACGCTGGAGGAAGTTGAGAAGTTAATGAAGGCGGTTGCGGGTTATGGGGATGGGTTTACGAGAGGTATGGGATATTTAATGGGTAGGGGTATTGCGGTCATTTCGGAGGGGTCTGCGACTGTGGTGATGGGAGGAAGGGGATAACGAGACACAAGAGACAAGAAGAAAGATGCTGTAGGGACTGGGATGGGAGGCATCTATTTGTAGAATTGGGTTTGGATATAAGTATCGGAACCCGAAACCCGATAAGGTGTAAGTCAGAGAAAAGGTCAATTTCAGAAAACCCCGCGGAACTCTGGGCTTATTTGCACAAAAGCTCCCTGAAATTTAAGAAGTAGAGAAGACCCCTAAACATCAGGGGATTTCACGGAAGTCCCGATGAATTTCAAAAGATTGCACAAACTGAATATGTTTAAAAAAAAAACTGTCCCCGTAATCTTTCTCGTCTCCGAGCTTTGCTACAGGGACCCAAAATATGGGACCAATAAAGGGGACAAGTGATGTGTCCTCCTCCTATTGGATAATGAGTTGGCCATCATTAAACTCATTATCTAATAGGAGGGGGACACCTCACTTGTCCCCTTTATTGGTCCCATATTTTGGGTCCTTAAAGAATTTTTCTCTCTCTAATTTTTCAAGTTAAAGAGGGTTTTGTGCTAATCACCCAAATTTTCAAGGGTGGGTCTGTGAAATTCATCCATGAAGGTAAAAAAAAAAAAAGCTGCGGAGCTACCGTCTTATGGATTGCTAGATGAAGTGAAGAAAGCGAAAGTTCATGTAGTAATAAGCAATCTTATATGTTAGACATGGGACGCAAAAGTATAAAACATATATTCGCTTCGGTTTTGTAATAACTTAATAGTAGATAGCAGATGAATAACAAAATGTCATCGTGTGGACTGCCTTCGAGTCAGCGTAACAAAGCGTGTGGACTCAGAACTTTTAAGATACACACTTTGTATGGGCTAAGGCTAGTTAGATTAACCTCGGTCCACAATCTGTTTCTACAGAAGAATTTGATACTCATTTTCTTCTCTTTTTTTGCCTCCCCGTACTTTCACGTGTCCAAGTGGCAGAAACGAAATATCAAAATTTCGCTTTTTCACACCGCGTCTCGAAGCTGACGAGTTTGTTGGATAAGATAAGCTCCCGACTTGCTCGGGACCGCATCTTGGAAAAGCTCAAAAGGATAAATCCATGTTTTGTTACTTGATTTCTGCAAAATTTGGCTGCCACATACCAGGCAAAATCCAGGGAAGCAATCAACTCGAAATAAATGAAAACATGTAGTTATTTGCTTCCATCATCAGAGAGCAGCAAATACGCGGATAAAAATCATTGTGCTCAGGAGAGCAAATTAATCGCAGGATACGAGACATCCCACATAGAGAAAGGGATGCTGCAATTAAAATCATCGATATTACAAGCATTAAACATCAAAATTGTTGCAGAGGTTACTCCTTACTGCAACTAGCTATTTGCTTCCTTCATCTTTCCTTGCTGCATCTTCCTGCTGCTTCTTTGTCCAGTATTCCTCAAGAGGGGGCCCAAAAATAGCTCTTCCAGAAACCACGCCAATTCTGCATCAATTGAGAATGTCAAATCCATGTAGTTATGTAATTAAGTCCTAGAGAATTAGAGTTTTACCGGACTTCATTGAGAGATATTACCGATTGAAACAAAGGGCAAGTGTTATGTAGTAGCAGGCAAAAACACCATTGGCTCATGATTATAGCTTTAGTATTTAAATCTGATATGATTCCAGATATTAACAACATAGCATTCCAGGTAAATCAATAAAAACCTGAAGATCCCAATAACAACGCTCCTAAATCAAAAAGTGATGATGTACTGCATAGAGCTACTGCACACACCTGCAGGCATCCACAAATTTATGCACATCCATAAGCAAATGCATATACACAATTGCACTTACAGCCACTCAAAAAGCAGAATGTCTGATGCAGGGACCTTCCATTTCTTTTTCTATTTTTTTAATATACATGGAGGATAAGGGCCTTAGCCCAATTTTATCAGTAGATAATATAATCGGGTCGCATACGAGAGAAGTACAATTGTTGGCAATTGGAGAAGAGCTTACAACTGTAAGAATTTGTGCATGGACCTTCCAAGAAACTGATATTGGGAAACAGCTAGATGTAAATGTTCACGTAGATGTGTGCACGCAGCATGTCCATGTATGTAGTGCACAACGCAGTAAAGAAAATGGGTCACAGTTCAAGAAAACAACATTGGGCATTTATCGGATAAATCTAGTGTCAATGTCTTCCACATAGAAGCTCCAAAACTGAAAGGGAATTGTAATAATATCATGGTCATTAGAGTTTCATTAGAGTCTCAGCATCCAACAAGTTAAAGGACTAAAAATTAGAACCATCCTGGTAAGACTGCAGCCAACCGGTTCACCTTTTCCACTCACCCAAAAGGCGACCCTCACAACTTGTAATACACCCTTTCTCTGCATGCATGAGACTTCCATATGGTGTACATATGGAAGCAATTACTCTCTGTAAGCTAACCCTGCAACCTCTGGTCAAATTAATCCTTTTTCGTGTCATAAAAAAATTGGACCCTTTCATCATTAGACAAGACAACACTTGCTAGCATCTGTTACCAAAGTGAATAGCCCGGATTATGCCATTAAATATTAATCCATGGAATGCAACGATAGTGAAGCCTATTTTGGACTTGAGAAGCATAACTAACCTCAAAGTGCAATATCTAATGCCATGAAAATGTCAGCATAGCTGCAGTATATGAATATGCCAAAACATACCCCAGTCATAGATATTGCCACGACAAAAGCCAGAACAACTGCAAATTACGCATCTGGGGAGACACACCTCACTAGCATTCCAAAACCGCTGCCATAGTCAGATGCGACATGTGTATGCATGCAGGTGTGCAGGCAATGCATACATACGGACACCCATAAACACATTTTAGGGTTGGATTGTCAACAAAAACAGAAAAAATGACCTTAGTTATCACTTTCGAAACTACACTATTAACCAATTGTTGCATTGTTCGTTAAAGAAGAAAGGGTTAATTGCAGCTAGACCCTCTACAGCATCGCCCAATTGCAAATAGACCCCTTAAGGCTCTATTAGTGTGGATAGACCCCTACTATTTGCGCAAGTGCGGATAGACCACCTCGGCGAACTTATTTGACTGTTTTAACAATCAAAAAAATTAGCAACTGGGGGTATATTTGCATGAATAGAACTACAAGGGGCCTATCCGCCTCTATAAAACCTTTATTGAATTTTAAGAGTAATAAAAAAATTCACTCAGGAGGACTACCCACAACTAGGCGATACCATAGGAGGTCTATCTAAAAGATGGGTTTTTTTTACTGTTATTTAGGGATCAGGTTGCGAAAGTAGCAGACCAGGCCGTAAGATGGGATTTTTTTTTTCCTAATAGCAGATCTTGCCATGATATAGCAGATGCGGCTGTGATGCAGTAGGTCCAGCAGTAGATCGCTGCAAATCCAACACAAGGCAATCTTGGAGAAGATTTAACTGCAAAAGTTAGTTTTGGAGTAGATCCAAGCTCTTAGTTCAGATTGCAAAGTAGCTCCTGCCTACAAGGTGTATAGCTCTTTAAAAGAAGATAATTTTCAGAATTTCAACGAGATGGTCGCAAAATGGCATTGTTTGACTAGATGTGGTCTCTTAGGCACATGTTTGAAATACACAATAAGAACTATCAGCAAAAAAGGTGGTATATCCCTCCTTATTTGACATGTCGCCTTTTGAAAGTAGTATGATGACTAATTCCCGGAGAGAATGCAGTGTTAACTTAATAATTGCCCTTTCTTAGCTGCTAAAATTCATATAAGCATGTTTTGCCACACGCGCAACATTATGGAATACTCGCATATATCCGATATGATCAAATCCTATGTCAACCAGTCATGTCATGGAATGACTAGTACCCAAGTCATTTAGATCATAGTATTAAAGGTTCACATTACAGTTTGAGTAAGAGATGTTGCAGGCTTATCTAAAGGTTGCTTCTTTCACCAGTGAAGAAATTGGGAAGGGCCTGTCATTTACAAATCGACTTTTATTCCAAACCAAACCATCTTCACCGGTTATATACAATGTTACAAAAGGCACTAAGCAGACTAGGCGTTTGAGGCAGTGCCTAGCGCCTATACGCCTAGGTGACGCCTAGCCTAGGGTTTGGCTATTTTTTAAATTATTTAAATATAATACTTCATTAAAATATGTATAAAATTCATATAAATTTGTAAAAAAATTGATATCAATCTTAGATCCACAATAAACCATGCATACTTAAATAATAAATAATCAAAACAATAACTAACAGGTTATAGAAAGCGTTTAGAGGCCTAGGCATTGGACCCGATGCCTGGAGCGTAGGAGGTTTTTTATTTTTTTAATTAAAATAATTGATAGTAAATGCCAATATTATAGAAAGCTTAGGTATCAGACTGGTGTCTAGGCGGAATTTTTTTTCTTCATTTAAGTGGTGGTCGAAGAGGTATTGCTGAAGGTCGGACGAGATAGTGGGGGTGTTTATATTTAGAGGTTAAAGGAGCTCGAAGGAGGTTGGAGTACGTGGAGGCTACAACACAAAAAATCACGATCAAAATCTAAAGGGTGTAGTCCACGTAAGCAGACAATGCTCCCCTAAACACTCCCAAAACTTGGGGGCAACCTAGGAACCACCTAGGCGCTAGGCGCTAGTTAGGCGGTCTAGCTACCGCCTAGGCCTAGGCGTCCGCCTAGGCGGACTAGGCTGACACTTTTTAAAACAGTAGTTATATATGAAATCCAGTAACCCCAGCTTCAAATAATCATTAGTCTTCTGAGTTGTTTAGTGGCTAGTGGCTTATCTAAATAGCAAGGCCAATATATGGTTCCATATATTTTTACTTACAGGCAAGTCTAAACAATTACTAGTGAATACCTTGCACATTCAGCACCAGGATCACCAAGAAGGCAAGAAGTCTGGTGTCATAATGAATTCTTCGGATGCATGGATCTTTATCTGGATCAGATCAGGATTCATATCTTACATATACAACCCCAGCACAAATACAATGATGACTATTTATCATGCTAGGGAACCAATACTTGTCATAAATTAGATAATATTAAATCCCTTGAATAGGCCAAACCCAGAGTCCAGCTCACCAATCATCCCTTCCCATTATGGAGTATATTTTTGCAAATATTGAAAGCCAACAATAACATGACTATTAATCATATATCTCAACAATAAGATCTAAATTACACTTAACAGCAGTGACCAACCTCTCATCCTTCGAATAATATAGTAAAGATGAGAACGGACCATAAAGTAAGCAAATGTCGACTACATGCTTTCATGTTTTAATACCCCATAGGTTGTCTACAATCTAGGACTTCATTTCTTGTACCATAGTGACATATTTACCTTTGATTAGAGTTACAAGATTATTCTATTACCACATAACAAAGACTTAGTTAGAAATGCGCTTGTCCATATCATTATCAGGTCGATAATTCCTCTTCAAATCAATAAGAGATGTGAAAGGATTGAGTAATCATCTATACAAATGACAGTCAACTTGATGTCTGAAAAAATTTATGATATGATTTTCTAATACTCGAAGACGTAACAATGACAGTAAGTTCACTCTATGACACTCCATGGAGAAAACTTCATGGGTCATACACATATATCCCTTGGAAATATGAACACCTAGCATATCACCAATTTTTGTCAGACAATCACTATGTACAATTATAACCTACAAAAATTGTCAGTGGCTTTCATTTGTCATCAAGAACAAACTATAAGTTCTTACAGTGAGTGTAGGTCCCGAGGGATCCATCTTCTCAGTCCAGATTAATAAGGTAATGCCTAAAATCAACTTTATCCTATGGGATTTAAAATATTGATAGGCGAAGACTTGTTCACAAAAGGGAAAGGGAATTAGGAACTAGAAAATCTAGCACGAAGCAGTAAAGAAGAGCATCAAGGAGATAGATAAGAAATGGATCCATAGCCAAAACAAATCTACGGCCTGCAACATTTTAATATCCATTTAAAACATACTAAAACCCACTACAACTTGAGCACTTTCTTCACTCTTATTTCCATCCGTTTCGGGTCCTAAGGCAGTTTCCCACTTTTAACATTGCAGAAATTAAAAGAGCCATTCGTTCATTAGCGCAAAAGATTTAGGGTCTAAATCCATAAATTCCCATTTTTGCATCTCAGAATAAATCACCCCCAACAAATTAAAGGTTAGAAGCCTGCTCATACCACGAAAATCAAATCAACCCAATTAACAAAGAAAGAGATCCGTACTCACATTACGGCTCCAATCACCATCGGCAGCGACAGAAACCTTCTCCTCGGCAACATCTCCTCTCAGACGAGGAATCAATCAGAAAGGGGAAAAAGCTCTACCGAATTGTTCGAAAACCCTAAAAACTTAAAACTATTGCAAAATAATCCCTAACAAACTCTCAATTTGCATAATTTTCAAATACTTGCACGCAAATTAAAAACACACACGGACTAACCTGCAAAAAACCAATTTAAGAAAGAAAAATAAATGAGAATCGCACCTCTAATCCTTTTCTCCTTCGCCTTCCTCCTCCGCATCCCCAAATCCACCACCCATCTCGCAAATCCTCTCCCAAACCCTAGCCTCCACCGGCACCACGACACCTTGGCTGCTTCAACAGCACGAAAACCCTCCATCGCCTCCTTCTCCTGCTTGATCTCTTTCAAATCGACGGCTCTCCTCAATCTCGCCAACCGATCTGACGTCCACCGCTCCTCCGCCGTCATCGGTTCCGTACCACGTTTTGATGACCTCGACGACTCCGACGATGCGGCGGTCGAATCGGCCTGATGGTAGAAGAAACAAGAGGTCGCCGATTTTCATCGATTTCATGTTGTTTTGGGCTTGCTTGTTCTTGACGCCGTCCCAGTTCGAGATGCCGCGTTAGATTGTTGGCTTTCCCAGGACCATTCGTTGCGGCTCCGTCTTTAGTATGCCAGTAACGGCGGTGATTTGTCATGGCTTAGGGTTTAGGGTTTTTTTGTTGTGAGGAGATTAATCATTTATTCTCGCTGAGGGAGGAAGTTGATGGGATTGCTGAATTGGCGGCGGAAATTGATCCCGCTCCCCCCCCCCCCCCCCCCCCCCCCCCCCCCCCCCCCCCCCCCCCCACCCCCCCCCCCCCCCCCCCCCCCCCCCCCCCCGCCCCCCCCCCTCCCCCCCCCCCCCCCCTTTTCTTTTGTTCCTTTTCCTTACTTAGAGAGGGGTTTTCAGGAATAGTAAATAGGGAAATTCAAGCGTACTAAAATGATTAATAAACTCTAAAAATAAGCACTAATAATAAGTCCAAGATTTTCGACGTTATGCCTAGAGCATGAGGACTCAAGGAGAACGGTGAAAGAGGAAAATACTTTTTGGGCACTGTATTTGGTCTTTTTGATTCTATATGTCTTTTTGATTGTACCAGTTGAGATGTACACGTAATTAAATATTATGATTATTTAAATTGATAAAAATAGAGTTAAAATAAAAAAATTTGGGTTGATCATCAACTTAATAATCTTTCTCAAATAAAATATTATCATTGTTTTTTTAACCCAGATTGTGGTGAGGTGATCTACCATTTTTGAGTTATAAATACATTAATCTATTACAACATCTCTACTTATTAGTATCTTAAAGTTTTTAAAAAATGATTGATCATTCAATTCGCAAAGAAAATTTACTTGCAATATGTCCATTCAATTTTTAGTTGTGGTTTGACTTATATTCACGCTAATTTTAGTTATTGTTTCGCTCATATTTATATTATCTAATATTCTCATTCAATTTTATAGCTCATTCTTTGTATCATAAAAGTAAAACTGAAAATATGAAGAATTATTTTTTGTGAAATTAGAGCAAGGAGATTATGATATATTTTGCTTTTAAATATTTAAAAATTGATGCAATGTCCCTATCAAATCTTATCCCAAACGATGTAGATGAAAAATGCTATTTATAACTCACTTGCTTAGGACCATTAAATTGTATATAAGACACATAATTCATCTGGAATATCCACATCTGCTAAGTGAATTTTGTTGTTGTGAGAGCAACATGTTAATGACTCATATTCAAACTTTTTTGCTCTATAAAAGACACAATAATTTAGAGTACGTAGCTTATATATCGTAAAGAACATATTGGTTCATGAAGACTTTCCCTAATAACGATATTATTACAATGATATTACTATTCAATATTAAATTAATTTTATTATATAAGATTTTATGACCCTTTTTAATAAATTATAAAGTATATATATAGAAACCTCGATGCTTATAGTCAGTAGTTAGGCTTCACAAAATAGGTTAACTTTACATTATAGTTTGCTATTTGTAGTACTATTGACAATGTCATTATCTTTCCTCTTTTTAATTATTCATATTTGTCAGTAGTTAGGAAAAAAATTTCATGCTCAACATTACACTGAAAGCACAATAAAAATTTAGAAATCTACAAAACAAACACCCTCAAAAGTTTTAAAAACTATAAAAATACCCTAAATTTTTATAATTTATAAATACACAAAACTATTAAACATTACATTGAAATTAAGGAATTACAAAAAAATCATTAAATATTTCAAACTTTGGAGGGGTAATTTACAATGTACTAAATTTTAAGAGTATTTTTTGTAAATTTTAAATGTAATAGATTTTCAATTAGTTATGTTCATTTCAAAAAAGTTATGTGTAATGTTGAGCATGAAATTTTTTTCCTAAACTTATACTTTTAAAAGTTGTATGATATTGTTTGCAAAAAATTAATTTTCTAGGGGTTGTTAGTAATTTTACATATTCATTTTAGTATCTACAGGTTAGAAATTCTCATGATGTTTATTTTATAAATTATAATTTTTAGAGGTTTTTTGCAACTTTTTAAACTTATAGGCATTTTTACATATTGTAAATTGTTTATAGACTATTTATAATTCCTATGCTTTCAATTTACAAATTAATTTGAAATTCTCAAGGTGTTTTTGTAAATTTTAAATTTTAAATGTTTGTTGTAAATTTTGAAAATTTAAGGGTGTTTTTTATAAATTATAAATTATATAGGAGATATTTGTAATTCCTATATTTTCAATATACTGTTAGGTTGGAAATTATCAGAATTTTTATAAATTTTATAATTTTAAAGGTTTTATTTTGCAATTTGTAAAAAGTTCAGAGTGTGTATTGCAAATTATATAATTTTTTGGGGTTGTTTATGTTATTTGTAGATTTTTAATGTGTTTATAGGTTTGAAATTTCCAATGTATTTTTTAAAAATTTTGAATTTTTAGGGGTATTGTTATAAATTTTAAAACTTACAAAATATTTTCTCCAAAGTAAAAAACTTTTATTTTCTAGCTAGCATATATTTTTTAGATTTCTCACTGAATTGAAATAAGTAAACATTTGTAATTTTCAAGATGCCCAATAAAATTTTAAATATGTAGGGGTGTTTTGCAATTTAAAAAACTTGGTGAATATTTTTTACAAAGTCCAAAAACTTTTAGGTGACGGCTAGCATATATCTTTTAGATTTTTCTACGAACTGAAATAAATTAAGGATTTAAATTATATGAAACGTATCTCTTTTATCCAATAACATGTTAAGTTTCATTGTGAATAGAATAAATCATTTAGTTACCAATTCAAATAAGATATGATAATTAGAATAGATTAGGATGAAAATGTAATAATAAAAAAAAACTAAGGGTAATATTGATCATAGAAAGATTTTTCCGAACTCGTACTTTTAAATGGAATATGTTACAGAGTTTTTGGTGACGTTGCCTGGGCTTAGAATCATCGAATTGTTTCTAGGGGTTTCTCCTAGGCCCCCGACGCCCAAAAAAAGCCTCCATTAAGAGTTGTCCCTCTAACATACTTGGTATTTGACAACTAATTATCGAGGCAAAACCAAAAAAATTTGATTGAAAAGTGAGTCTATGAGTTTGATGGCAATAAAAGTTTGGTTAAAACTTAAAGGTGGTTGATATAATATTAAAAATCAATAGTTGTTTCTATAGAGTGCCCTAGTTTAAGGTGATTTCAAGGGGGGAGCCCTTAATTCTAATCTAAATGGGTGTGGCGTAGTAGTAAGAATACCATAAGAATCACTTCTATAAAAGTGGGGGAGGTTTACACAATAGTCGATATAATAGATACATTCCCAAACTAACCATCTTTAACTCCTTAACGATATAGATAGCCTATTTTATGGGTTATTGCTATATTCGTGAATGGTATAGGTCATATTATGCTATGGAATGTTCTAATAGAATCTCTACCCATTGTGTTCAATTTTTTTCTTATTATATTTCAAATCCACTAGATTTAAACTTTACAATTGCTAGTTTAATATTCTATTAATTCTGCTATGCACGCGATGAGTGCATTACATAATAAACGTGTACCTAAAAATCACTTTTAACACCCTAACAATCAATACTAATATGAATGTATTTCTAGAAATTTTTTGCCTAAAGTGATATAAAGTATCTTAATATTAGAAAATATGTAGTGTGGGAAGCTATAAAGTAATTGATGATAGTTAGTGGTGTTTTTCTCTCAAAAGTTATCCTTCTAATTAATTTCTATATATAATAAATTATTGCGGATATATGTTTTTTTTTTTTAATATTGACACGCCTAGGGTGGGTAGAATTAAAAGTGTAACTTTTCTTACACCACACTAATAGATAAGACATGGGTTTTGTCGGTTATTCTTTTTTCTTGGAATATATGCTGGTAGTATTCACCTCACATGTGGTCTTCGCATGTCATTAATTGCTGTCGGATCAGATCAGGTAAGGATGCATCATTCATCTTTTTAGGGCTGGGCATATTCGGTTCGGTTCGGTTTTAAGCCCAATCCGCATCCAATCCGAATTTTTCGAATTCTCAAAACTCTCATCCAGATCCAGATTTTTTCCCTTTCATCCGAATATTCGGCCCAACCGAAATTCGGATCGGTTCGGTTCGGTTTCGGTTTTAGACTGAATTAATTCAATTTCACAAAAATCTGTCCACACCTGAATACCGTTGTACTTTTGGATACATGGGATATCTGTTCCAATTCGGTATGTCCTCCCTGTGATTCAGTTTTAAATCTAATATCCTGCACTGGGATACCAAAGTATTGATGCTTGAATAATTTATTACATGAAGAATGAAAATAGTAGAGGCAATGGTTGGACAATTTACTTCATGATAATAAAATACCTGATGTTTATTTTTCGGGGAATTGGACATGTGGACGAAAGAAGCATCTGTTATTTTGGGGATACTGATCACTTTCTGCTTCCTTTGAGATTGTTTCTGGTAATATGAAAGCTTATTTTTTTGGTCTTTGTAGACGTTCGTGGTAACATTTTCAATTATTTATTAGCAATGTTATTTGAAACAAACTAGATCGTTTATATACTGCAAAAGTTTCTAACTAAAGAGCATAGAAAATGTCCTTCTATCTTGACCCTGCCTAGGCTGTTGCTGTGTATAAATACACCTTCCATCCTCACTTATTGCATTTCTGTTTCAGTAGTCTAGCAAGTAGTTATTAGCCATATTTTTGTATTTCAACTTGCTGAATATCTGTTTTTCAGTATTTATATTAGAAAATGGAGTTAGGGTTAGGAATTTTTCAGTATTTATATTAGAAAATTCGGTTCGGTTTTTTTCGGGCGGTTCAAGGGTTCAAACCGGATCCAAACCGGTTTAATTCGGTTCGGGCGGTTTAGAGTCTTCTTCTCATCCATTTAATTCGGTTCGGTTAACCGGCCCGCTTTTTTGGGCGGTTTTTTCGGTTGAACCGGTTTTTTTCGGTTTTTGCCCACCCCTACATCTTTTATAGCCTAAATAATGCACGATCCTGGTTAATATTGTTGGATATTTTGTATTAAAATAAAATAAAGAACACAAATAATAAATTTTAAATAGAAATAAAGAAATTATTTGTTGGCATGTACGGTGGCAATCGTGATGTCGCTGCCCTAGAACAACAGTTGCCGCCTTCACACAGACATATTAATGTAACCATGAGCTAACGGTAAAAACCTTCCGAGAAGATC